AGAATGTTACAGAGAACACAGCTCTGCATTTATGGACCTTATTATTCTATCTGGTCCATGTGACTTTTAAACACATTTTTAAAGAAATTTATTTTCCTTTATAAATTTTTTCAGAACTCCCTGGGATACATATTTTAAGATTTTTATGATGAACTGCATTTTAAATGATCTTAAGCTTTGCTTTAATGAATTTTTTATTTACTAAATGAGATGTGATGAGGAAATCATGAAGCTACATTTAGTTTAAGATCAAGACATTATAATTTCAGCCTTAAAACTATAATGTTTAAATTGCTTCATTTTTGGTCATTGGCACAAAAAGCGATCAGCCTCTCATCTTAGAAGGGGGGAAGCTCATGCTTTTCCTGTTTCTGTACTTACATTTTTTCTGCAATTAAAAAATGTTAAATTCTTATTCCACAATAACAAATTAACATTATTAGAATTCAGTGAATGCCAAAACTTCACTAGGTATCAGGCAATCTATAGGTGATATATAGGTAATATTGACCTAAATATCTTTGAACAAAATTACTCAATCTTTGTTTCTGGGTATAATGCTTATGGATACCCAAGATTAAACTGCTTAGATTTGGAGGCTGCTAGAGCTGGGTTTTTTCTTAGTAAGAAACTGGATCCTAAATATTACATCCTAAATTATTAAGCAAACAATTAATAATCTAGCACAAGTCAGATAATCCTATTATAAAAACAAAACAAAAACAAGGTAGTTTCATCACACTTTTTTTTTGGAGGGAAATCTATTTTGCTTCCAGGTAACTTGGATCAACAGTGGGTAATAGACCTGGCCAGAGGATTGCTGCCTTCTGATTCTCTCTGATATCATCAAAGCTTTCGACCTTTAGCACCTGGTTCAGACATCCTGTTGCAATTGTTCTCTCGTTCTTCTTGTTCAGAAATCTCCTTCGCCAGTGTTTTTGGTGTGATTTAAATGGAGTCCTTCATAAATTTAAGATGTCAAGTTCTCTTGATTTCATACTTCTTTCAGAGCTCATTCTTCCAACTGTTGTATCTATGTAGGCATTTCTTTGAGTATTTGTCTAAGAGTGGAATTGCTAGATTGTAGGATATGGCTATCAACAACTTTATTTATTTATTTATTTATTTACATACGTACGTACGTACTTACTTAAAACGGGGCCTTATTCTGTCACCCAGACTGGAGTGCAGTGACATGACCATGGCTCACTGCAGCCTTAATCTCTTGGGCTCAAGCCATCCTCCTGCCTCAGCCTTCTGGGTAGCTGCAACTACAGGTGTGCACCATCACACCCAGCTAATTTTTTTTATTTTTAGTAGAGACAAAGTTTCACTATATTGCCCAGGCTGGTTTCAAACTCCGAGGCTCAAGTGATCCTCCTGCCTCGGCTTCCAAAAGGGCTGAGATTACAAGTGTGAGCCACTACGCTTGGCCTCAACAACTGTATTACACAATGCCAAAATGTTTTCAAAAGGGATTGTAACAGTTGACATTCTTGCTAGCTTTGTGTAAGAGTTCTCATTGCTCCACGTCATTATAAATAGTTGATGTTTTTAGGCTAAAAGTTTTTACCAATCTGATGAGTATGAAATGATATTTATTATGCTTTTATTCACATTTTTGCAATTACTGAGTCTCTCTACATGTAGGAGTTCTTTCTATATTCTGGATAGTAGTCCTTTGACAATTATATGTGTTGAAAAAAAACTCTTCCACTCTGTGGTTTGTCTTTCCACTTTATGGTGTCTTTTGATGAACAGAAGGTTTTAATTACACTGTAGTCAGATTTGTCAACTTTTTCCTTTATGGTGTGTAATTTATCTGTTTTGTTAAAAAATCCTTTTTGATCCATTCTGTATCATCTTGTAAAACTTAATATGTTTTTCTTTTGCATTATGTGTTTAATTAATGTGGAATTTATTTTTGTGCATGATATGAGAGTGGGGATCAAATTGCATAGGTTTTTGGCATATTCCATAATTATCTTAGCACTACTTATTACACGTCTATAGCACTATTTATTGATTTGCAGTTCCTCCTTTGTCATATCTCAGATTTCGTGTGTATGTGGGTGTGTGGTTATCAAGTTAAAGAAGTCCTACTTGATTCCTCATTTGCTAAGAGTTGTTAATGATAAATATAAAATTGTATAAATTATTCTGCATTTATTCATACAATTATATTGTTTTTTCCTGCATTCATTTGTTAATGTGCTGAGTTGCTTTAGTTTCTTTCCAACTATTAAATCAGTCTTGCATTCCTAGGATAAATCAAATTTTGTTATGATACACATTTTATGTTATGCTGGATTTGATTTGCTAATTGTTTAATATTTTTAAAGTTTATGATATTCCTATATTATCCTTTTAATGCACGCACTGTCTATAGTGATGATGTCTCTTTCTTTCTTGATATTGGAATTTGTGTCTTCTATCTCTTTTTTATCTATTTGAAGAACCAGCTTTTTGTTTCATTTATTTTTCTCTGCTGTTTTTATTTTCTATTTCATTGATTTCTGTTCTTATTTTATTCCTTCCTTATGCTTTCTTGTGGTTTAATTTTTTTTTCTTGGTTCTTAAGATATGAGCCTTAGCTCATTGACATGAAAGCTTTCTTCTTTCCTCATATAAGTAATGCTATGGATTGCTAAATACTGCTTTATGTGCCTCCCACATATCTCAATATTTTATGTTTTCATTTGTAGTAAATTCAAAATACTTTCCAAATTTCCTTGTGTTTTCTTCTTTGAACTATGGGTTTTTTAGAAATGTACTATTTACTTTCCAGATATTTGGGGGAATCCTCAGATATCTTACTTTTCTGTTATGGAAAGAGAGCATACATTGCTTGTTCCAATAATTTCTAATTTATTGAGACTTGTCTTATTGCCTGTAATATGGTCTGTCTTCATTAATGTTCCATGAGTGCATGTGTGAAATGTATGCTGCTGTTTTGGGTAGTATATTCTATAAATGTAATTTAGATTAAACTGGCTGATAGTATTATTAAAGTCTTCTATATCATTGTTGATTTTTAAAATATAGTAAGTCCTCACTTAACATTGTTAACAGGTTCTTAAAACTGTGACTTTAGGTGAAACAATACATAACAAAACCAACTTTTTTCTCATCAATGTTATAATATAATGACATTGAATGATGCTATTCTAGGAGTTACTGTATGTCATTTCGCTTATAGTCTGTTCCCAAGAATCTATCAATGATGTTAAGTGAGGACTTACTATATGTGTACTCAGTGAATGAGATACAGTGGTAAAATCTGTGTGTAAAAACAGCTCTGTCTATTTTTCCTCTCAGATTTATCAGTTTTTGCTTGATGTATTTTGAAGACTTGACTTTTTTTTTTTTTTTTTTTTTTGGAGACAGAGCCTTACTCTTTCACCAGGCTGGAGTGCAGTGGTGCGATCTCAGCTCACTGCAACCTCCAGCTCCGGGGTTCAAGCGATTCACCTGCCTCAGCCTCCAGGGTAGCTGGGATTACTGGCACACGCCACCACAACCAGCTAATTTTTCTATTTTTTTAGTAGACATGGGGTTTCACCATGTTGGCCAGGATGGTCTTGATCTCCTGACCTCATGATCCGCCCACCTCAGCCCCCCAAAGTGCTGGGATTACAGGTGGGAGCCACTACTACTGGCCATCTTGACCTTCTTAAACTTTATTCAATGTTCGTCTCCATCCTTGGTAATATTCCCTGTTAGAATGCCTTTTTTTCCCCTGATATTGATATAGTCACTCTCACTTTCTTTTTCTTAGTGTTTGCATGATATATCTTTTTCCATATTTTTACTTTTAATTTATGTCTCTTTTAATATATTTGTTTACCTTTTCCACTAGATCTTTTAACGTATTAATTATAATTATTTTAAATTCCTTGTTGGATCGTTTCAAAACCTGATTTATCTCTGGGTCTGGCTCTGATGACTTCCTAATTCCTCCAATGGTTTATATTCTTTATTGTTTTTTCCTGTCTTTTAATTTTTTAATTGCTGGACAGTATATATACAAGACCATTGGAGATTGAGATAAATATTATTTTTGCCTAGAAATAGGAGTTCTTTTCTTCTGCTACATCATTAGGATGGAGGTTTGAGTCAATCTAGTCAGCACTTGAACTGGGTTTGTTTTTTGTGGTTATTATCATTACCTTCAGCACACCACTAACCTCAACTTTCTTTATGGGCATGCTCTGGCTACCCTGTGCTTAGTGTGAAGCTTGGAGGGCTATATGCCTGCAGCCTAGAAGGTTTAACTATCTGTGCTCTTCCTCTTCTCCCAACAGTCAGTTGCTGATATTTCTTAGTGAAAGGCATGGGATGGGGTTTGAGATTCTCTGGCTCTTTTATCAATCTTAGGCAGTCCTACCCTCAGCAGTTAAGAATTTGAATTTTTCAGTTTTCTTCTTACTCACTTTTACGACTTAACTTCTTTCTCCCATACTCTGCAAAAGGAGAAACCATTTCAGTATCCTGTCTTACCTTGGAGGGGCTTACCACTCTTTGGAATTCATTTCACATCCTGGCATCAACTCTTCTGCTTCAGATTATATGAGAGGGTAATGAGTATTTTTTCCAGTGGCTCTGTACCAATTTCTTTAGTAAACTGAGAAGAAAAGTTTCTAGCCTTATCTATTTGAGTAAGTCTAGCTTATCTTCCCTGTCATTAAGGTGATAAACGTGAAGGATCTTGGTACCTAATTTTATATCTTGGTTTTGATAATGATTTTTAAAAATTACCTGCTCTGGTCTGCTTTCATACCATACAGTCAAGTTTGAAAACACAATGAATTAATCTTATCTAACAATCACTTTATGCTTTTGGAATGTCTACTTAAACATTAAATAGATCAACATTTCAGAAGAACTCTTTATTTTGTTTTATTGTCCCATAATGTTGCATGAGAAGGTTGCTTTTGGTTGAATTTATGCAAGTTGTTTAAAATATGAGGATTGCTACTTTGTTTTTCCTTGTGTTTCAGGTATTGGTGGTAATTTGGTGGCCATTCAGGCTAGCAGGATTTCTACCTACCTCCATTTACATAGCATTCCAGGAGAATTGCCTGATGAACCCAAAGGTTGTTACTACCCATTTAGAACTTTCTTTGGTCCAGGTATGTGCTTATGGATTTTTGCATATTTTAGATCAAGGCCTATTGCTCTCTAAGATTATAGGCAGGCAACATTTATTGTATATGTGTTTTGTGAGAGTTGCTCAACTTTCCTATTTCTGAGAGCTAATCTCAGTGAATGAAAAGGCATGTGTATCAATTCTACAGTTGCTGAGGATCTTTGTATAATGTTTCTTTGATGCCTGTTTCTGAGGTAACTTGCTTATTAGTTGTGAAAGAGAAACCTTATTTTGTGAAAGACAAAAGAATCATTGCCAGGTGATTTTGGGAGGCACACGTACTATCTTATCTATATTATTATTTTGGCCTTTCTAAATGTAGGCATTTGATCTCAAACAAACTAGATGAGAAGGGATAACCTCGGTTTCAAGGATGATGCATTATTTATGTGACTATGAAAAAACAAAGGCACACGATTACCAAAAAACTAAGACTATAATTTTAAACCTCACAATTCTTATCATTTTTTTTCCCTGATGAAAATAAGTGTGATTATTGACTTTTGTTTTAAAACAATTTTTGTTGTTGGTGAGACAGGGCTTTGCTCTGTTGCCCAGGCTGGAGAGTAGCGGTACCATCACAGCTCACTGCACCTCAAACTCCTGGCTTAGGTGATCCTCCCACCTCAGCCTTTTGAGTAGCTGGGACTACAGGCATGAGCCACCTTGCTTGGCTAATTTTTTATTTTTTTATTTTTTTAGAGATGAGGTCTCACTATGTTGCCCAGGCTGGTCTTGAACTCCTGGCCTCAAGCAATCCTCCCACCTTGGCCTCCTAAATCTCTGGGATTACAGGTGTGAGCCACAGTGCCTGGCGATTATTGGCCTATGAATGAAGATCAGAAATGGCTACCCTTTTAATACCAGCGATAGAAGTCTAAAGAAATTAGTAAAACTAAAACATTCTTTTACTTTAAGAACTTTATATTTTCTCTTTTGTCTTCCCTCTGTTTTTATGATAGATATTAAAGTGTGACCGATGTTCTTCATAGCAAGTTTTTATCAACCACCTTTCATTTAATTAACATATATAGTGGAAATTTCAGAGAATGAAATGAATTGTAACTACTTGAAATTTATTTTTGGCAATCAAATTTCATGTGATAGTATGAAGTATAGTAACTAGAAAGTAATCCTCAAATTTCAATAACTATGACCTATTAACCAAAATATAATTTTGTTTTAATTACTTTTACATTTTATATTACAGGAGTAAATAATAAGTCTGCTCAAGTTCTGCTGCTTTTAGTGATTCCTGGACATTTAATTTTCCTCTACACTATTCATTTGATGAAAAGTGGTCATACTTCTTTAACTATAATCTTCATAGTAGTGTATTTATTTGCTGCTGTGCTACAGGTAAGAGTTAAAACTTCTTGAAACCTCTTTTATGCTGAGACTGCTGTAAAAGTACAACTATGGAAATCTAAAAACACATGACATACTTTACCATCTCAAAAATCAACTGAACATCTTCATATTGATTTGATCTTCTTAAAACCAATAAACAATTTTTTGTTAGTCATCAGTATTTATATTAGGCCCATGTAAACATTGTTTATTATAGAGTCAGTTAATTTCACTATGACTTATATTTACTTTTCTTGTATTTTCTTTCCCATGGGGCTAATAATCATATCTCTTTGCATCTGCATCATTTTCCATAAACCCATCTTTAATTTTTACCAATGGTTCTAGTTTTATTTTGGCTTCCTGGGCATGGCTTCTTGCTAAACTTTGTAGATTTGGTACCTTCTTCAGTGAGGTAAGTCCTAATCCCTTAAGAGATGGATTCAAATAGTTCTTTGAAGAGATAACATTTATCATTTGACTTTCAAGGAGTTTGGCATGTAGGAATGAGGCTAGAAGGTAGGTATGTAGACATTATTCCACTGAAAAGAAACTACATTGATGATGATGATGATAATGAAATTAGTTGGCATCTATAGTGTTTCCTATATGCTCAGAAGCATTATAAGTGCTTTATATGTATTGATTCATTTAATTCTTACAAAATGCTATGAGATTTGTTTTTTTGATATAAATCAGCGATTTTCAAAGTGGGATACACACAGAGCAATGCATCATGTGGAGGAAGAAAAGATTAAAACTTCATTTGTTTGAAGTATCTTTTTTCTTCTATTTTTGTGTTTGCTTAGTAATAAATATATTTTAGCACAATGTTAAATAAGTATACCAAATATTTTGTACTGAGAGAGCTGCATAATCTAAAACTTTTTGGAGATTACTGAGTTAAAACACAGAGGTGAGAAAGCACAGGGCTTGTACAAGGTACAATAATTCATATCTAGGATCTAACAGACAAAATAAGGTTGATTAAGGCTGGTGTAGAAAAGGCCTTAAATACAAGGGAAATTAGAATCTATTCTTAAAATAACAAAACCCTTACAACTTGACATTTTTAGCTTGTCTATTATGCTTCATAGTGCCTTAGATTTTACTGACAGTCACCTATCGAATAATTAATTAATTTATTCATCCAGTAAACTTTCATGCTACTAGATAGAGGGATGGCTTTTAAATCCCGCGAGGAATAAGTTCAGACTCCGTACTCAGGTCTCATAGTCTAGCGGGAAGGCCACTACATGAACAAAGAATTATAATGTACTATAATGTAAGTACTGAGTTTAGCTCTATATGAAGTGCTTTCAGAGTTTGAAAGAAAAAGCAAGTACCTCTACCTGGTGAGTAATGTTTTTCTACTGTTCAGTAGGGACAAAACTTACAGCAAATGGCTACTTTTATTGCTGTATATTATATGGTCATTTATTGTCATATATGTTTGATGCTGTTCTCTTTGTAACTATTGTGAAAAAGATTAATTCTTCAATCCCAGGGGAAATATTCAGAAACTAGTGTTTGATTTGCTGATAAACAAGCCATTGCTGGAGCATATTCCTATTTGCAACTCTACCTCTTAGCCTCATGGATTATTTGACATTTATGTTTATGGTTCTGTGCCAACATACTATCATGCAGCATTTCACTTAAGTCAATGAAGGATATAAGTAATTTTTCTAGTTTATTAAAAAGTTTCAACATATATCCACTGTGTACCTACATGCCTTTTAAACCTCTGATCTAAATTCTCATCAGTGAAAGTTGAATAACTAGAATTGAGAAAAGAGTAATTATTAGTCTCTCTGTGTCTCAGTTACCCCCTCTGTAAAATGGGAGAGGTTGTACTATCTACCAGACAGGCTGCTTTGAGGATTAAATGAGTTACTTATATAAAGCGTGTTTATAGTAGATGCCATGTAAGTGTTATCTGATGCTATTGTTGTTGTTATTAAAGATAGTATTATAGGCCGGGTGTGGTGGCTCATGCCTGTAATCCCAGCACTTTGGGAGGCCGAGGTGGGTGGATCACAAGGTGAGGAGTTCGAGACCAGCCTGGCCAAGATGGTGAAACCCCGTCTCTACTAAAAATAAAAAATTAGCCAGGCGTGGTGTCACACGCCTGTAGTCCCAGCTACTCGGGAGGCTGAGGCAGGAGAATCCCTTGAACCCAAGAGGTAGAGGTTGCAGTGAGCCGAGATCACGCCACTGCACTCTACCCTGGGTGACAGAGTAAGACTCCATCTCAAAAAAAAAAAAAAAAAAAAAAAAAAGAAAAAAGATAGTATTATAAATGGTGTGTCACTGGTTCAGAATGACAACTGGAAACTATACTGTTGATTGAATTTTCTTATGTGTCTTTTATGACTTTAATTTTTATGGGCTTTGCTTTTCATTTTTCCCCCAAGAATCAGATATCCGCCAGAGTAGATCTTTGCATTTGCAGCCTGATACTGTGCATTTTCTAATGGAATAGCTTAGAATAGGTTGTAAATTCTTAGATCAAATCTACATGTTCTGACACTACTATACACATAAGCACATGCACACACACCTCTTTAAGGTTTGGGTAAAAGATCTTTACCTTCCCCACCTGGCTTCAGTCAGTCCAAAGATGAACAGAAGGATGAAATAACTCCTTAAAGACAAAGAATCTTTGACCACTTAGAACTTCCTTTTTAATGTTCTTTACTAGATTGTCTTCCTTTTTTGATCTAGGTTGAATTTATATTCACAACCTTGGTCTAAGCTCTTATTCAAATACTTAGTTCATGCCACTCTTCTCATCCCTAAACTCTCTAATTTGATTGGATATTCTATAGTGCAGTTTTCCAATGCATGCTGAATTTCTCCCCATCTACATTCCAACCTTCTTGAGGGTTGAGACCATGCCTTTCCCTTTGGTATTCCCCACAGGACATGATATAGTGGCTGTTTTTATAAATTAATGTTGTTTTATACTCTTCAACAGACTAATACTCTTTGAGGAGCCTCCCTGCTAATTCCCCAACCCACTAAATGAAGGAAATCTATTTGAAGGAACCTTCATATTGCACTTATTATAATGACATAGTAACAATCATTTGCAGCACTTTTGCATTTACTCAGATATCATCTCTTCCTGGAAGCCTTTCTTGAATATCTGATTTTCTCTGAATTGCCTTATTCTCTATTTCCCAAAGTACCCTGTGAATACCATTATCCTAGCATTTTCCATATTATATTGACGTTATCTATAATATTTATTGTGTCTGTCTCACCCATTCTAGAGATAGGTTCTTTGTTTCACTCATTTTTGTATCTCCAGCACCCAGCCCTGTCCCTAGTGCTCAATTAATGCTTGTTAAAACTGAATGACTATATCTTGCCAGCTTCATCTCCTTCAGTGGAAGGAGGAGAAAATTTTATAACTATTTAAGTATGGAAAATCACAGAAGAACTAAAAAAATCTAGATTTTTGTTTTCCTTGTCTTCAATAAACACCAGTTTCCTCTCTTTCACTGACATAGATATCCGAAATAAAAGCAATAAAAAATGAAACACAATCCCACAACTTCTAATAGTGATCAGTTAAAATTGTAAGGTTTTACTGAGATGTTTGGAGATGAAATAACTTGATTTCTTGGGAAGTAGAAGTGTAGGGGTAAAACTGATCATGAGTTGATAATAGATGAAGCTCAGTGATGGTTCCTGAGAGTGAGTGGGGTTAATTTATACTATTCTACTTTTGTATATGCTTGAAGTTTTCCTTAATAAGGACTTTTTAAAATAAAACTTTCAAATTTTAGATGTTAGTATAAGATTTTTTTTCAGAGTATATCATCTCTCAATTTTGGTCTTGTAGCTGAATGGGTATTTCTTACTTCAAATGAAAAGTAAAAAGTCAACTTAAATTTGAAATTCTCTGGCATTGGAATGGCTGAGTTAGTTTCTTATTTTGCCCTTGGCACACACTAGCTCCCATTTTTTGAAATTATTTTTTAAATTTAAGAAAAACTACTTATAAGTCACAAATTACATTGTTTAGGGGTATTTATTATGTGTCTTGCAATTAGAAGGAAGCTATCAAATATGGTTTTGTTATGCGATGTTTAGGCCACTGCACCACAGTCAGAAGATGTGATGGGTTATACTCTATTCGTGTTCTTGCCCAGTCCCCGAGAGCAATCAGAGTAGCTAGACCGTGTCAAGACCACAGTAATGTGCTAAGAGACATTCCTATTTGACATACCTCCAATCACATGGCTTTTTGAGTTTATTTTTCTTCAACAGTAAGGATGGGTTGGTACCTAGCTAACCATCTTGATCCAATATACCTTTTATACCATCAGTCAGCTTTTGTAAGACTACCAGCTGTGCTTAAGGCACTATTGTTTGTTTTAGAATATAATTTTTTTATTTATGTCAAACTAGCACATTGAACCCACAGCTTTGATTTCACAGAAGCAGAGTATACTTTCCTCTACAAATTTTGACATGTTTATTGGGTTCTTTCTCGCTAAGCAGTGATTTTCCCAGCCTTCACATCTACTTATTTGGATGCTCCATTGACGGCTCAAAGCCTGTTAACTTATGAACTCAAAAGCATAATATAGGATTCCAAGTTAGGATGGGCATTGTTAGCCTTCCTTTTAAGATGTAACAAAGGGAATCTTACTGTCATTTTCAGAGTTTTCTGTTTGTTTGCCTTACGCCCTACAGTATTCTTCAAAGACTAGTCCCTTGACAGCATAATAAACCTGAGGAGGTACAAAGAAAACTCTCAATTAAATAAGCATACTGACAATCTCTTGAGCAAAGAAGGAACAGCAGTACATCTTGGTTTGTTTCACTGTTTAATTTAAGGCTTCTATTAGTTGTTCCCCTTTGTGTTAGAAATCCTAAATATATATCCTCTGTCTATGAAAAAACAAAAACATAAACATGTCATCTTGTCAGATGACATATCCTATAAGAGGCAAAAAGGTTGCCCCTAGAAAAACTGAAAGAGGCGGCTAGGC